CCTTTTGTCCTACAATCCCGTGGGTGCAGGCTCAGCTTCGCCATTGTCCCGCCTGGGCTGGGTGAGAAGCCATGGTCACTGTGCTGCCTGCGGACCCCCAGCCCTGCCCTGGAGAGAGGCAGCTCTTCCCAGCGCTTCCTGCTGGTCCCCAAGCTGAGGGAGGGAGGATGCACTGCTGATCCCTTTATGACAGGAGTCGGCAAACCTGCTGTAAAGGGCCCGAGAGTGAAGATTTAGGTCCTGCAGGCCGTATGGTCTCCACTGCAGGGACTCAGCTCTGCCGTGAGAAAGCATCGTGGACAATGCTGGTGCCGGGGTGTGGCCGCGGCCGGGAAGCGGTCTGGCCTCTGCCGTGTGAATTTCATGTGTCACCAAACCGTAACCTTTTGACTTTTCCTCCAGCCACTGGACAAGGGTAGAAACCATCCTCAGCTTCACGCAGGAACAAGCAGAGGCACAGAGTTGGCGCCCGGATTACAGAACGTGTGCTTCTGATTGTACAACAGGATTTCTTGAGTCCTTGATTTTGATTCAGCTGACTTGGCTGTGTCTGTCATGGAGTCATTGTTCCTCTAGTGCAGCGGTTCTCAACCTGTGGGTTGCGACCCCTTTGGGGGTCTAATGACCCTTTCACAGGGGTTGCCTAAGACCATCGGAAAACATATATAATTACATATTGTTTTTGTGATTAATCACTATGCTTTCATTATGTTCAATTTGTAACAATGAAATTGGGGGTCACCACAACATGAGGAACTGTATTAAAAGGTCGCGGCATTAGGAAGGTTGAGAACCGCTGCTCTAGTGAGATTTCAGTGCTGGAAGGAGAGCCAGACCCTTAGCTCCTGGCAGCCTGCCCGCCTGCAGGCCCCTCTCTCCTAGGGTTGTTGTTTTGTTGGTTCCCTTACTCCATCTTCCCAACGGGCCAGCACCCAGTGTGCTGCATGTGTGGTTCTTTACTTTGTGCGTTTCTTTTCTTGTTGTTGCTGTTTAAAGTTTATTTTTGCAGGGGTGGCTCTCACAGACGTGCATTCCTGGGTTCGGTGGGACATCTTTAATTGATGGAAGTGTATTGTGTTGCGGCGCTCATTCTCACTTTCCGCTCAGCACTGTGTCTAAAAGGTGATCCTCGTTGCCACGGGAACAGCGAGCCGTTGCTTCTAACTGTGCGCAGGGCTCCGTGGGCAAGTCCACCTCCTCTTCTTTTAAAAAAGAAGTTTCCTGGGGTGGTAGCATGTTTTGAGCTTGTGTGTATTTGGAAATATAAATGATAATTACTGCACAAGAGAAGTATCTGTAAAAGTCCTGTGAAAATATTCCCCCCTCCATATGTGCATTTTTTTCTGTTCAGTTTTTATGTTCCTGTAAATGAAAATGAACGGCCATAGACCTTGCTTCGCAGGCATTGCAGATGTGACTGGCTATTCCCACTGCCCGTCGTTTTTATCCCTAAGGAGTCCGTACAAGGCTGCCTCCTTCTCCCCTCCTCAGCTTTGCTGGAATCTCTCAGCCAGGCCCACAGAGCGTGGGGGTGGGATGTGGGCAACCTCCTGACCCACCTCTTCACTGCGCTGGATGTGTCCTAAAGGGATGGTTTCCTGGCTCATTGGAGAGATTTAAGGTTGGTTTGGACCAGAGAGGCTCTCACCCCTGGTTCCGGTCCAAGTCCCAATGTGCCCCCGCCCAGCACTTAGCACACCTTGTTGGTACCTCAGTAATATTGAATGAAAGTGATCTTGAACCTCTCGGAATGTTTGTCAAGCTCTGTTCGCACTCCCCAGCAGGGTGGGCCTCTAAGCAGATTTCAGCACCCTCCCCACCTTCCCCTGCACACACTCTCACATACACACACACACACGCACACACACACATATTCCACCCCCCACTTCATTGTGATAGAATAAGAAATGCATATTTGGTCCTAGCTGGTTTGGCTCAGTGGATAGAGCATCAGCCTGAGGACTGAAGGGTCCCAGGTTCGATTCCAGTCAAGGGCACATGCCCAGGTTGCGGGCTCAATCCCTAGTAGGGGGCGTGTAGGAGGCAGCCAATCAATGATTCTCTCTCATCATTGAGGTTTCTATCTCTCTCTCTCTCCCTCTCTCTTCCTCTCTGAAATAAAAAAAAGAAAAAAGAAAAGAAATGCATATTTGGTCTTTGTCCCCAGTTCCTGGCACAGAGCTCCTATAACCCTTGTAATTTCCTGAGTGATTGGGTGAGAGCAGGTTCCGCCGCCCCCCCGCCCCCAATAATAAGCCCTTTTCAACCATAGCTGAATTGATGCTAATGAGGTGATGCGGGCTCAGAGCCAGGGAGGCAGCCCTGTGTTAAGAGGGCTGGAGGTTGTCAGTCACTAATGGCCAATGATGGAATCAATGGTGCCCACCCCGTGTAGCCTCTGTCCAAGCCCTGCTGTAAGGGACGGGCGGACACGGGGAGGCGCTGGGCGAGGGCGTGGCGCTGGACCCCTCCCCACATCCTTGCCCAGAGCATCTCTTCCATCTGGCGGTTCCTGAGTGTTATCCTTCTGTTCTAAGCTGGCGATCCAGTAAGTAAACGGTTTTCCTGAGTCCTGTGGGCCACTCTAGGAAATGATTGAAGCTGAGGAGGGGTTGTGGGAACTCCCAACGTACAGCTGGTTGGTCAGAAGCTCAGATGACAAGTTGGACCTGTGATTGGCACCTGAATTGCGGGGGGCAGTCTCGTGGGACTGAGCCTTTAACCTGTGGGGTCTGCGTTAAGGGCGGTGGTTAGTGTTCACTGAAGATTGAATTGCTTGGTGTGGAAAACCCACACATGTGGGTGGGGGTACAGCAGAGGGGAGGAAGGTTTTTCACACACACACACACACACACACACGCACACGCACATGCACATACACACATACACATGCACATGCACGCACTCACACACGCACACGTGCACACACACATGCACTCACGCACCCACGCACACGTGCACACACACATGCTCACTTGCACCCTCGCACACATGCACACACACATGCACACATGCACACACACCTGCACACATGCACACGTGTATACTCATCATTCGTTCTCAGGCCCCAGGGGAGGTGTGGAGCCTCTGCGGGACACGCTTCTGATTTGACAGCACCGGGCGGGGACCCCAGCCTTTGCCCCAGGGTTCCAAGGTCTCACTCCTGCCGCCTCTCACAGCCCTGTTCTTGGTTTTGCAGCCAGAGCCCAACCCTGGAGACCTGATTGAGATTTTCCGCCCCTTCTACAGACACTGGGCCGTCTACGTTGGTGATGGATATGTGGTCCACCTGGCCCCCCCAAGTAAGGATGCCCAGGGCCTCCCCTGTGCTGGGGCTGGGGGACAGGGAGACGGGGAGCTGTGGGCAAAGCTCTTTGTTCCTGGACTGGCAGTGGGTCCTGAGAGCTGCGAGAAGGCAGTTTGGTCGGGGCAATGGCTTCCAAACTCTGCTATGTTGCCCCTTCCAGCGCCTCAGCCCTGGCCAGGGCCGTGCCGGGGAGCACTGGGCCTCCCTGGCGTCACCTCGCAGGGAGCAGCCATGGGGTTTTGGTCCCTTTGCTCCCAGAAGGGCAGGAACTACATGTGCAAATCCTCCACCTTCCTACAGCAGTCAGCTTTGTATACGCCAAGGAAGGGTAGCCCCGATAGAATGGCAGGAGGTTCACACTCTGTTGGCCCAGGGAGATGGGTGCGCTCAGGGCCCATGTCTGCATCACCGAGAGGGCCTCTGAGGCGGGCGGCACAGGGTGCAGAAGGCCAGCCTCTCTCGGTTAAAATAAAATCACCACGAATCATGGACCTTCACTAACTCCTGATTTCAGGTGAGGAAACCAGGGCCCAGAGACCACAAGCACCTGCTCCAAAGCCACACAGCGTGTGTCTGACCCTCCCCTCTTTTCCTTTCCACATCTCATCTGCGCAAACAGAGGCTCACAGCCTTAAGGAACTAGTCGATCACCATTTATTTTATTTAAAATATCTGTGTTGAGTCTGCCCAGGGTGGGTGCCCAGCAGGTGGGCTGCTGTGAGCCCTGGACCATCGCCCTCTTTCCTCTTTGGGAACCACAGGTGAAATCGCGGGAGCGGGGGCGGCCAGCCTCATGTCCGCCCTGACCGACAAGGCCATAGTGAAGAAGGAGCTGCTTTATTTTGTTGCCGGGAAAGACAAGTACCATGTCAACAACAAGCATGACCAGAAGTACTCCCCGCTGCCTCCCAGCAAGATTGTGCAGCGGGCGGAGGAGCTGGTGGGGCAGGAGATGCTCTACAAGGTGACCAGTGAGAACTGTGAGCACTTCGTGAACGAGCTGCGCTATGGAGTCCCCCGCAGCGACCAGGTGCGTCCTCAGCCTGTGTCCCTGTCCCCAGGAACCAGACCATTCCCTCCGCTGACAGTGTCCGGGGATCCATGTGGGCGCCCGGGGTGGAGGTGGAGGCACAAAGGAATCAAAATAGCCGGGACAGAATCCCTGCCCTCGAGGGAGTGACAGTCAGGGTAGGGCTGAGGGTGAGGAGAACTGCCAATCAGCAGAGTAGAGCAGTTCAGTTAGGGGGTGATGTCACCCCCATTGCCAAGGCCTCCCTGGCTGCCTTCCCACAGGCCCAGAGGCGGGTTTTATTATCCCCACTTTACCGATGGAGAAGCCGAGGCTCACAGCATTTAAGTAACTTGTCGAGGACCATTTGTTTGACCAAACAAATCTGTGTTGAGTCTGCAGACCTGGGACTTGTGTCTTCCTGGGGTCTGCAGCTGTGCTGATCAGTAGCAGCGGTGGGATTTGGAGCCCAGGTCTGTCTGACACGGCTCTTCATGTGAAAGGCGCTGTTCTCGGCCCTGCCGCAACCCCAGGGCCAGTCCCGGGGGCGCCAGGGGATGCAGTCTTGTTCATTTTCTAAGTTTGATTTTGGCCGTGATCCCTGTCTTTTGGAATCTCTTTTTCTCCTGGGAAGCTAACTTCTTTCCTGTTCTCTCTCATTCCTCCTCTCCCTTCCTGCACCTTCAGGACCATTTGTTTTTTTGTGTGTGAAAACATTGGAAAAGTTCTTAGGTGCATGTTGATGCAAAAGAGTATATTCCCCCCCCCCCCCAATTTGAAGGCATTGCTTCATTGTCAAATAACTAATGCTCTTGTTGTCGAGAAGTCTGAAATGGTTCAGATTTTGGATCCTTTATATGTGATCTACTTTTTCTTTCCAGAAGGTATAGAATCTTTTTTTTTACCTTCAGTGCTCTGAAATTTCACGACGATATAGCTGTGAGGATCTATTTTTATGTATTGTGCTGGGCACTTGATGATTCCTTTCACTCTGAAAACCTCTTTCCTTCAGTTCTGGGAAAATTTCCATTTTCTCTTCTCTCATTCTGAAACTCCATTTATTCCAGTGTTGGACCCCCAGACTGCTCCTATGATTTTATTATCGTCTCTGTTCTGTTTTCCATTATTTATTTATTTTAAATGAGAACACTAACATTTATTGATAGATTTGGGTATAAAAAAAGTTTTTCTAAGAAGTAGCAGTGACACTATCACATAAAAAGAGAAACTTATGCTAAATAAATCTGTTTTCATTATTGGAGATATTGCCTAACAATTGAGGTCCTCATTCCCAGGTGGCTTTTACTTCAGGTAAAGTTCCATACTCCTCTGCAGCAATAAACTTGAAGTAAAAGTCACTCTAGAAACTTGAAAGCAATAGGATACTCTATAAATTCAGGGTGGTACATTAGGAAGATTTGGTAGATTTATAGAATATCTCCTAGTCATCTCATTTTTCATTATTTTCCATTGATTATTAATAGACTAAAGAACAGACTCACAGGTTTATATAAATGAAGAATTATGTGTCAATACAAAATTGTTACATAATTTCATATGTCACTAGGCACGAATAATATTCAGAGCAATTAAATATAATTCCAAGTTTGAGATAGTAAAATAGCTAAGAAATAGTTTCTATCATTTACTCTATGGAAACAATAATTCAACTCCTCTTGCAAAATGAAGCATTGGAAATTGGACACATCACACTTTTCTTCCTATGGCTTTAGCCCCATGCACTACCCACCCACGGGAAAGACAAAACAATGACAACACAGCAACAATAAAACAGCATAAACAATTCTATTGGACCCCTTAAAAAAATGAAACCAGAATATATTACAAAACAAAAAGAGGTGCCATCTATACTGTTTTCAAAGATCCCCTCTTTCATTTCTTGGCCTAAAAATGAGGGTTTATCAACCTCAGTACTGCTGACGTTTTGGGTTATTGACAATGGAGACAATTCTTCACTGTTCTGACTGGCTCTGTGCGTTGCCAGGTGGTTAGCAGCACCTGTGGCCTCTCCCCACTAGGTGTCAGTAGCACTTCCTCACCGCCAGGTATGAGGAGCAAATGTCTGTAGCTGTTGCCAGTTTCCCCCAGAGGGCAAAGCACACCTGTGCCCAGCTGAGAACTACTGGCCTAGTGAGTAACGGTCACACTACATGAGGTGAACAAACTAAATGTGACCTCCACACGCCTCCCAGCTCGGGAGGGTGGTGGTTTGTGGGTGCTGGAATGTCTAGCGGTGTTTCCTCGGTAAGTGCTGTCCGAGTGGCAGTCCCCTTTCCATTTCACCCACCAGGACATCTTTGTTTGTCTGTAAATTAACAATCTGGTCAGTCATTATGTTTACTTGTGCTGTGCTCTTTGGAGCAGATTAGATTTTCCTTCAACAGAATATTTATGACATTTAATTTACCAGTTGGAAAGGGCAGGAATGGCCCTAGGTGATTTGGCTCAGTGAATAGAGTGTTGGCCTGCGGACTGAAGAGTCATGGATTTGATTCCGGTCAAGGGCACATGCTGGGGTTGCGGGCTCGATCCCCCATAGGGGGCGTGCAGGAGACAGGCGATCAATGATTCTGTCTCATCATTGATGTTTCTATCTCTCTCTTCCTCTCCCTTCCTCTCTGAAACCAATTAAAAATATTTTAAAAAAATATATATTTTATTGATTTTTTACAGAGAGGAAAGGAGAGGGATAGAGAGCTAGAAACATCAATGAGAGAGAAACATCGATCAGCTGCCTCCTGTACATCCCCTACTGGGTATGTGCCCGAAACCAAGGTACATGCCCTTGACCGGAATTGAACCTGGGACCTTTCAGTCCACAGGCCGACACTCTATCCACTGAGCCAAACCATTTAGGGCAATAATATATATATATATTAAAAGAAAGGGTGGTAATGGATTTAGACTAAAATGTAGTTTGTGCTTTATTTTTTAATTTTTAAATATGTTTTATTAATTTCAGTGAGTAAGGGTAAGGGAGGGAGAGAGAGAGATAGAAACATCAATGATGAGAGAGAATCATTGATCGGCTGCCTCCTGCACACCCCCTAGTGAGGATCAAGCCCGTAACCTGGGCATATGCCCTTGACCGGAATAGAACCCAGGAGCCTTCAATCCGCAGGCCAATGCTCTATCCGATGATTCAAATCGGCCAGGGCTGGTTTGTGCTTTACATGCCTACGTTTCTAAAAAATAATTCCATGACTTTCCACCTACCTAAAAATCCTCAGGCTTCAAAAAAGATATATTTATAGGCTTTTGTAAATAAGCTGCCATTCTGAATAGTACTTTTAATTTAATTTAACTTTTCTTTCATTTTAAGTCATTTTTAATTTTTCAATTGCAGTTGACACACAATATTATATTAATTTCAGGTGTATCCCACCACCCAGTGATTAGATATCATATAAATTACTAAGTGATCGTCTCAAGAAATCTTGTACCCATCTGACACCATACATAGTTATTAGAATATTCTTGACTATATTTCCTAAACTTGACATTCCTGTGACTATTTTGTAACAATCCAATTTGTACTTCTTTTTTAAAAAAATATATTTTTATTGATTTCAGAGAGGAAGGGAGAGGGAGTGAGAGAGATGGAAACATCAATGATGAGAGAATCATTGATCGGCTGCCTCCTGTATGCCCCTACTGGGGATCAAGCCCGCAACCTGGGCATGTGCCCCTGACCAGAATCGAACCTGGGACCCTTCAGTCCACAGGCTGACACTCTATCCACTGAGCCAAACCAGGTAGGGCCCAATTTGTACTTCCTAATCCCTTCACTTTTTTAACCATCCCCCAACCCGCTCCTATCTGGCAACCGTCAAAATATTTTCTGTATCTATGAGTCTGTTTCTGTTCTGCTTCTTCATTTATTTTGTATTTTTGGATTCATTTGTTAATAGACAGGTATTTATTGACATATTATTGTTCATATTTTTTGTCTTTTTTTCCCTTCTTCTTAAAGAATACCCTTTAACATTTCACCACAATAAGGGTTTGGTGGTGATGAATTCCTTTAACTTTTCTTGTCTGGGAAGTTCTTTATAGGTCCTTCAATTCTAAATGACAGCTTTTCTGGGTAGACTAATCTTGGTTGTAGGTCCTTGCTTTTCATCACTTCATGAACATTTTTTGCCACTCCCTTCTGGCTTGCTGATAGAACTTCTTAAAAAAGCAACTAGGAGCCACACTCATAGTGAAGTCTACTCTTTGTCAGATAAAGTAGTAGAATAAATAGAAATTGAAGATGTGGCCAATGGTAATGCATATATTACATAAATCTGGATAAATTGCAAGGAATTATTTTTTTATTATTGTAATTATTAAAGTTAGATTTCTATACAAATACTTTATACCCACTTTTATTTCGTAACCTCTTATAGTCAAAATCCAATTGCTTTTAGAATAACACGGTTATTTTATCCAATCAGAACATTACTGAATTTGGAGAAAGCACCTTAAATTTTCTTTTTCCCAGAAACAATTCTGGCGCTTAACTGAGAGAAGCTGTGTAGTAGCAAGTTTTCTGTAGTCTGACAGTATTTCAGTTTGTCCACTTCAAAAAGAAAGATGGATTTCTTAGCGTTTCTCCTTCATAGCATTCTGAGTTGAGGCCTGTGATGCATACCGTGTAGCCCATTTTCCTGATCAGAACCCCGGTGGTCTCAGCACGGAGGCTGCGCTGGACCCACCAGCCTCGCACCAGAAAGCCATCCGTGGCCTCTGCAGTCGCGCTGACTCTCAGGATGGTTTTCCTGTAGCGTTTGCACCACCAGGACTAACCAGAGGGCACTCTCCTGGGTTTCATTATACTCTGCACACAGCATGACCGCAGACAATGGGGCTGCTGCTGTTGCCTTGACAAAGTATCTTTTATATGATCCAGCTGCATCAGCATTTCTTCTCTGTAGAGAACTAGGGGCCCCTTGTGCCTCCTACATCATCTGCCAACCACGTCTCCCACCTGACACAGACCTGAGCCAGGAAAACACGGGGTGCAAGTGGGTTTATGCAGGTTTCCTAACAAGTTCACCAGCAGAACCAGGGCGGCCACAAAGCCGTGCCTCATGGCCTTTTAGGGGAAAGTTAAAGACTGAGCAGCAGTCAACCTCAGGTCTGTAGCTTCCTCCAATTCGGTCATCACATTCTCTGGCTGCTAAGAACATCAGTGAAGGGTGTCTTGTCATGTTACTTACACGGGTGTCTCCTGACATCTCACACAGCTGGACACATTTGGCATCTATATATCCCTAGAGGAGCTCCAAATTGTTTCCTGCACTGGTCACCGAGGGGTTGTGGCAGCCACACATATACAGCCCAGGCAAGCTCTGTGGTTAGAGCAGCGAGGGCAGCGCTGACCAGGCCATGTAAGGATGTGGGTTTAGGGTATCAGGTCCACATTTCCATCCTTCTTATTCCTGGGATGTTTGATACACTGTCTTCATTGGACTTCTTGGCAAACAATGATTGAGAATCTTGTCCTTTCCTGTTTTATTTATTTATTTATTTATTTATTTATTTATTTATTTCCTTTGCTGTTCTTGATTCTGCTTAAATGCCTGGCTTGGTTTTTGGGGTGAGATTTTTCTATTTGTGCTCAAGACCCTTTCAAGCCTTCAGTGGGAGAAAGTACAGCTTTGCTGCTTTGGGCCATGTGCCTTCATGGGGAACATGGCTGTGAGCTGAAGACAGAGCTTGCTCTCCCTTGGCATTATCACAGGAGCTGGTATTGCTTGTGCCTGGTCGGGCACCTGGCCGGGCCCTGGGGATACAGCAGTGAACAAGACATGTGAGGTCCTTGCTCTCATGGAGGTCATCGTTTATTGATGATTCAGTAGCAATTCCTCCTTGACTTCACACTAGCTTCATGGGCTCCCCGTTGGCCAGCCAGGACCGCCGCCATCCTGGCTGCATCTCCCTGTCCTTTCCACAGCGACCCTCTGGGATTTATGTGCCTTAAATACCCGCAGGGTGAATCGAGGTTCCCTCTTCAAGTTCAGGTCCATTCCTGGCCAGCTGGCTCCATCCACCAACTCTTTCCGCTTCCAGCCCTCTCCCCCCATTTCCTTGCCAATATTTGTTGACTTCTGAGTTTGTTATGGAGACCAAGGGGCATGTGAGGCTCTATGAGCTGAACATTCTTGTTGGCTGTACAGCCTGTACTCAGTCCTGACACCGCGTCTGACCCACCTCCTCTCTTTGCAGGTCAGAGATGCCCTCATGGCGGCTGGCATCGCAGGAGTGGGCTTGGCAGCCGTGGGCCTCATCGGAGCTGTGATCTCAAGAAACAAGCGACAAAAGCAATAAGTTGAAGGGACTGTCCTGACAGCAATTACTTTATACATTAACAGGAACTTGTTTTGCTAGAGGTTTTGAGGTTTGGTTTATGGCTTTCATTCTGTTTTTATAATAAGGCATATTTTCACAGAATTAAATACAGCCCAATAAAGGAGGATTTTATTGGGGGAAATGCAGCCAGAACTGCCTGGTGTGAAGTCTGTTGAGGGCACAGCTGGGCTCTGTTCCTGGTGACGCCAGTTGGTGCCCTGGCCCTTTGGTGATCTTTCACTTTCTCTTTGCGACTGCGTTCTTACCTTGCAGGACACACAGTCCAACTCCTGTTACCTCAAGTAATGGGCGCTTCTGGTTGTGAGGACACACTGGACAGCAAGACCTGGTGGATATACAAGAACAGGAACCACGGGATAGTCAGGACCTTGGCCTGGAACTAGACCCGGGATGGCTTCTAGGCTCAGCAGCCAGAGTCTGCAGATGTTCACTGGAGTTCAAACCAAACCTTTGCCATAAAGAAACTCAATATATGCTCTTGCCAATCTTAAAACCAGCCTTATTACCCCTCTGCTCCTCACATCTTTCCTCTGTCTTGTTGCTTTCACCCTCCCCCACCCCATCCCCAGAACTCCTGCTTCCTCACCATTGGGCTTGGGACAATCCCGAGGGCTCTGATCCCACATCCCCTCCTTTGCCCCCTCCTTCCCATATCAGCTCAGCTCTGTCCCTTCCTACACCCTGTCAGGTGCTCCTAGTTCAAATTCTTGAGAGAGAATCAGCTCACCAAATCCTAGTTCAGCCTATTGATTGGCTGCTGTTGGGTCAGGTGACCATATTAGGCCAATCAGCTCTTTCCTGTTGGGGCCAGGTCACATGGTGGTTGCCTCACACCTTCTGGTTTGGGGTTGTGGCAGGCCCTAAGCCTGACCTCCCTGCTGCCCAACCCTCCTGGGAGGGGTTGGGGGAAGGAATGACCCCTTGTGGCGAGTCCCTTGAGGTCAGCTTCTGCTCTCTGGGCTTAGAAGGTGTTCAAAGTGACCATTTCTCTAAAAGGGGCTTTTGTGGGTTCCTCAGAGACACTCTACTAGTGCTGCCAATGTTTCCTTTGTCAGCCCTGGTGTCAGGGACCATGTGTCTGTTGGAATCCTGGACGGGACTGTCAAGGAAAAGAAAACGGACTCTGTAAATTTAAGAAAAGAATTTTATTGAAGACTGACTTGTTGAGGGCGGGCCTTGGAACAGTGCTCTGACTTGGGGGGAGTGAGAGGGACTTATGTAGGCAGAAAAGTAAGTGAAGGTACATTTGGCACTAGAACAGCTGTTCTCAACCTGTGGGTTGTGACCCCTTTGGTGGTCGAACGACCCTTTCACAGGGGTCGCCTAAGACCATCCTGCATATCAGATATTTACATTACAATTCATCACAGTAGCAACCTTACAGTTATGAAGTAGCAACGAAAATAATTTTATGGTTGGGTCACAACATGAGGAACTGTATTTAAAGGGCCAGAAGGTTGAGAACCTCTGCACTAGAAGTTACAACTCGGGTACCTAAGCTTCCATGGTTGTTTGACATCAAATAGAAGGGACGCATAGAAAAGAGGAGGTTGAGTCGCTGCTGAACCTCCTGCTGTGAAAACTATCCAATTGCTTTGAGACTCTTGAGATGAATCTTTGATCAGGATGGAGAGAGGACAGACACTCTCTCTGGTAATCAGTGTCCCTTAGAGGGGAAGCATTGCAGGGTCTGTGTGTGACTAGCCCTGCGGTTAGTAAAGAATCTTAGTTAGTAAGGCTCCTGGTTCTTCCCTGGTTGCTGATGTAAACAGAGGAGCTCAGGCACCCTTTCCCTTCCTCAGGACTTACAGGTGGCTCCGTGCCAGCTTTCTCCTGCTGGGGATGGAGCCAGCAACCTGGGTATGTGCCCTGACAGGGAATCTAACCGGCAAATTTTTGTGCACAGGACATTCAACCAACTGAGTCACAGTGACCCGGCTCAACTCCCTCCATTTTCAGAACTGACTCTCTTAGCAATGTTTATTCCATTTTATTTTCTCTTGTGTTATTATTCTCCAAACACAAGAAAGCAAAACAGAAACACCCAGTTCAATTAAAAAAAAAATTAACAAATTGCATAAAAAACTGGAAGGTGTAGAAATAACCAAATAAGATGGAAGAACCAATTCCAGATATATTGGTAATCACCATAAATGTAAATGGGTTAAACTTGCCAAGTAAAACACAAACATTAGCCTTGGCCGGGTAGCTCAGTTGGTTAGAGTGTTGTCCTGACATGCCAAGGTTTCGGGTTTGACCCCTGGTCAAATCACATACAAGAATCAACCAATGAATCAATCAATTAAGTGGAACAACAAATTGATTGTTTCTCTCTTTCCTCTCTCTCTGATGTATAAAATAAGTGGTAAAACTGCCATTTTCTAGAGCATTTTTTCAATGTGTTGAGATTTTTCTTCTCAGCAATTGTTATCAGTTTGGATGAAATAAACTCATAAAAATTCTTACAAGTTTGAATGTTTCCTACATTGACACACTGTACAGAGAAACCTCTAGGCCCAAATGGCATCGCTTATGCTAAAATCCCATGATACCGACCCTAGATTTAATACCTGATTTGTTTGTGGTCTCAACTTCTTCTGGAAATTAAATCTTAATCAACCAATTTGGAATTTTCTGGTCGGGCACCAGTAAAGTAATCTGTCCTGTAGGCTCATTCCCTCACCTCCTCCCCACAGAAAGAAGAGACAACCTGCTTCATAAAAAGCCTTGCTGTTCCCTTTCTCTCCCCGAAACCCAGGTCCTGATCTAAAAAATAGTCCTTTCTTTTCTTTGGTTAAGAGCTCTCGTGCCCTACCCTTTTACCTATAAAACACCTTTCATTTTGTACAACCCCTCAGAGTGCTGTGGACGAAAGGGGCCACCCGCTAACCTGACAAGCTCAGGGGAGGCCTGCATGGCAGTCTTGCCAACTCAGAGACCTAAAGTCACCACAGGGATGGTCTGAAATTAAACTTTAACTAAAAGCAGTTATGGTGGGTAGTCACCTCCTAGGCTGGTATCTTCACTGACAAGGTCAACCTTTACCTTAACTGAGCCTATCTGTCTTTCTGCATCTCTGCTAACATGTCCTTGAAATGTCTGGGTAACTTGTAACTTCCCTTTTTCTGGACCCCTCAGGGCACAACCAAATGTGCCTGGGTGCCAGGATAGATACCACGGATTCCTTCATTGTTATGTTAATTGTTCCTGCACTCACCTAAGTATGTGTCTATCTTTTACTTTTTATCCAATCCCAGAGGTTCCCTACTTTGCTTTCTCCCGCCTCCCTAATCTATCACCAGTGGATTTCTTGTAACCCTCCCATGTCCCCTCCTTTGATTACACGTATAAAAATAGATGAAAAACGGCCATTAACTGGAGCACTATCCCAGTACGTTGAGAATCTGCTTCCCGACAATTGTTGACAGTTGGGCTCAAATAAACTCACAAAAATCTTTACAGGTTTGAATGTTTTTATGTTAACATTGCCCTTGTACTTGCTGGATGAGATGCTGCCCGATTCATTAGTTCCTTAATAAAGCCAAGGAGATCTTCAAATTTACTAGGTTGAATTTTGTTTTTTAATAAATGCAAAGGGCAATGTGTTAGGGTTCTCCAGAGAAAAAGAACCGATAGGATATAGCCATAGATACAGATATGGATATATGAGATTTATTACATGAATTGGCTCACATGGTTATGGAGGCCGAGAAGTCGTACAATCTGTCATTTGCAAGCAGTGGACCGGAGAAGCCAGTGGTGTAATTTGTTGAGAGGCTAAAGGACTGCAAATAAGGTGTTAAGGTCACTGGTGTAAACTCTGGAGTTCAAAGCCTTGAGAAATAGATGGACATCCCAGCTCAAGAGAGAGAGTTAACCTTTTCTCCACCTTTTTGTTCTGTTTGGACCCTCAGTGGATTGGATGATGCCTGCCCACACTGGTGAGTCACCTTCTTTACTCAGTCTACTCATTTAAATGCTAATTTCTTCTGGAAACACCCTCAGAGCTCACGGTGTAAATACAAATGTCCAATAAACATAGACATGTGAAAAAGATCCCATGCTATTACTTCCAGGCTGACAAATACTTAAAAAGATGTTGAACAATTGGGACTTTGGTGTACTGCCCGTGGGAAACTTAATTTTGCATTTTTTCTCTAATATAGTTGAAGAAGGTCATACTGTTACCAGAAAGCTGCCTAAGTCTAAGGGGCCTCTCCTCTCCTGGGCTCTTGTCAGGCTTTTGAGAAAGAATTCAGATGAGTGACCAAAAGCAGTGTTGAAGCAAAGCAAGAACATTTATTAAAAATACACTTGGCATAAAGCACAAGTCGGCAACTCAGCTAGTCTCAGTGGCCTGCCTGGTGGGGGTTCAAGGGTTTTATATTTCCCCCCCTTATAGGTTTCAAGATTCCCCTGCTGGATCTTGGACAAGAGACTAGATTTCCAGGTCCCCCTTTTACATTGTTGTAGCTTTCCCCCAAATTTATGAGAACATTTCACAATTTTATCTTGGCAAGTCCCAAGATTGCTGACTTCTTCATTCCGTGGGTGAGAAAAATTCCCTCTTTCCCTACCCCCTTCCCCTCCTTCTGCCCTAGCAGCCATCTATCCTGCCTAACAATACCATACACCCCAACAACTCTGGTTGGTGACCCTTTAGTCAGTGATAACTTTAGTTTAGTCGGTCACAGTCAGTATGTTAGAAAAAATAAAGAACAGAATTTATCAGAGTGTATCTCGTCTAGATTTTGATAAGACTTTTATTTATATGCCTGAAGTCCTATATATCCTGGTGCCTTATAAAATGTATTTCTTACCGTGGATCTTGGTTAAAAAGGTTTAACAGTCTCTGCTTAGAGAAGACTCCAGGTGCACTAGGAGGCTTGTGTGAGGATGCTCATGGCAACTTTGTCTGTAATGCAACCCACTGGGAGCACCCCAATGTCCACTGACAGGAGAGGATGATTGAACTGTGCTACATTCCACATGATGTGAATGAACACGAATCCACATGGAACCTAATATTGGGCAAACATCATCAAGTTGTACAATGTAAGAAGCTTGATTCTGATTTTACCACATTCAAAAAATGCAAAATAAATATGTCTATGTTGTTTAAGGGACACATTTATACGCAGGAAATATTTTCTAAGAGCAAGACAATCATAGACACAAAATTCAGGAAATTGGCTACAACTCCCACATGCCACACAATGAGGATGCGAAGGGCCCTCCCCACTCCACACCCCTTTGCCCAGGAGGTTACAGCCACAGGGGGTGTCAGTGAGGGAATCTGATTTGGGGCTTTGGATGGGGTAGCACGCTGGTGCCAGAAAATGGGCCTCTCCACACCCAGGCAGGGGTGGGTTTGTGTTTCCACTTGGTCTGGGATGTGTTTCTAAACTGTGGGCCGAGCCGGGGGGGGGGGGGGTGAAGGGGGAGGGCGAGGATCAAGTGGGCGCCCTGTTCCCAGTGTGGGGCATGCGCCTCTGATGACAGATTTTGTCTGGTTCCATCTGCTTAGCGGTTGCTGGAACTGTTCTGGTCATGGTCAGTCCCGGTGTTCAGGCCTCCTTGGAGCTCCTCCCTCCTTCTGTCTCTCCATCCCTCCTCACCCCACACCCCCCTGACCCCGCTGTTCCTCTCTCCTCTTCTCTGGGCCCTGAGACTTGGTGACGTATGACCGTGACGATGATCGTAGCCACCACCGAATCCTTTGACTCTGCATGTGGACTTCGGTTTCTCTCTGGCTGGTTTCCAGGCCTATGTGTCTACCTGGCCTGGACCTGGGCCCTGCTTTGAACAAAGAGCAGATTTTGTGTGACCTTTGATTTGCATTTTCATTTTAAAAAATGTATGTATTTATTAGTAGCATATGGTAATACATGCTAAACCTAAATGTGAAGAACATGACCCTCCTCTCACTGAGTCATTACCTCGCAGGTCACCTGGACACATGTCTCACAGAGGAGCACATGACGTGGCTTTAAGTACAGGTGTTTGTCTTCCTGGGCTGGGTCAGCGGGAAAACGAAACTCTTGATCACAGAAGGTTGGGCCTGAGGCAGCAGCACGCAGACACACCTGCACAGGAGGATGGCTCTGGTAAGTCCCCAGAAAGCTTTTATTTCAAACACCACAATCCTGTTAGTGGTGATGATGTGGGTCTCCTTGCTGGGCTGCAGCTCTGGCACCGAGGGGCACGGGTGCCTGCTGAGGCCTGAGGATCCACTACCCGGGGTGGGAGGGCTCCCCAGGGCCTTCCTGAGGAGGCAGGAATGGTGGGCTCATGGGGGGGGGCAGCCTCTGCCCACTGCCCAGTCCCACCTCCTCAGTCACACTGTCCTGCATGGCTGGGAGGAGCTGGGAGGGAGGGACAGGAGAATGGCTCCCAGCGGTGTGGGGCCGAGGCGGGGGCTGAAAGAAGGGTTCTTGTCCACCCTCCTCTCCAAACTGCTCACCTGTTCCCTCTGCTTTTCTTTCCATCCCTCTCTTCCCTTTCCATATGCTGCTCCTTCCTTCTGGCTGCGTAACAGTCCCATTTCCGAATGCTCACTGCATCCTGACACCATGCAAATGGCTTTTATTTAATCTCTGCTTCAAATATGTGAGCACATTTTCCTTGTTAGCTTCTCCCGCAAACCCAAATGGAAACCGAGGCTAAAATCCTCTGCACTCTGCGCCCCGCCCCCCGCCCCGCCCCCCGCACACAGTCCCTCCTCTGTGTGGCTCGGTACGTGTCCTTCCAGGTGTTTTCTAGTCCTTTGCATATAGAAGTGTAGCCACCTTTAAGTGTTGTTTTGTGGCTTTGGGTTTTGCTGTCATTCTTAACTTGGTTGTCTGAGTACAGTTCACTTAGGAAATGCTTGAATCTTTTCCTTTATTTACCAGCTTTTGTAATAATATGGTGATTCTTTCGCATCCTCCAAAGGTGACTAAGGCATTTTGAAAGTGTCATTATGAGCACATTGATGTCATTATTCACATATCTGCTGTGTGTCTTTTTGATGCTCAAATTGTTCCATCTTTGCTCAGGTTGACACATGACGCTTGTAATCAAGAGCTTTTCTCTCAACCATGTCTCCCCAGCAGACTTCCGGTTGGCAGCCACCCTCACTTCACCCAGCAACAGCCACCCACCCTGCTTATGGTGATCGGGCCCCTCTGACCACACTCAGCTGAGTCAGGGAGGAGAGGTGCTGGCTGGCCTCGGAGCGATCATAAAATAGAACTTGTGTGATAAGGGCGTATCTCCCATTCCCAGGGGGATGAGGGCAACATACTCCCTGCTCATGCAAACCCCAGAAGGGCACTGCCCTGCCACCAGCTCCAGTCACACCCTGGGTCCCCAGCTGGGTCTTGGGCCTGGAGCCCAGACTTCAGCGGCCCCGCCCGCCTGGGATGCTCTGAGATTGTCAAGGGCACAACATTGGTAACACGCAGACTAGGTTTGATCTTTCTCTTCTATTCACTGGGTAAGGATCTTTGCATGTTACCTAACCTTCCTGAGACTCAGTCTTCTCATCTGTCAAATGGGGTAATGATAGCTTGTAGTCAAGGGAGTGATGGATATGAAATGTGGGCCCTGTTGAGCACCATGTCTGGCTGTGCAGGTCGGGGCTCTATCACTCAGAATCACTCAGGTCTGGCGCAAAGGTGGGTGGCTCTTTACGGGGCATTTGAGACTTCCTGGGAGTCATATACTCACTGACACCAACATGCTCTGCCATAAAATGTGCTCATGCCCATGTCTGCACACCCATGTCTCGGCCACACCCCTGTGTTGCACACCTGCCCACACCTCCCCTCCAGACACCCTGTCCATCTCTTCTTTGTCCCCTGAAGAGCTCACTTCCAGCTCAGCAGCCCCAGTAAAGGAGGGACTTCCCATCTGAGCGAGGAGAGCGCCCTCTTCCGTTTCCTGCAGGAGATGCTCAGAGGGAGCTTGCAGGCTGGGCTGGGGCTCCTTACAGAATATGGTAATACATGCTAAACCTAAATGTGAAGAACATGTTCCCTGTGAGGACTAGAATGTTCCCTGTGAGGACTAACCTCAGCCTGTCTCTGGTTTTTCAGTCACAGGCCAAACCAAAACCTGGAGACCTGATTGAGATTTTCCGCCCTGGCTACCAGCACTGGGCCCTCTACGTGGGGAATGGCTACGTGGTGCACCTGGCTCCTCCAAGTAAGGCTGGTTCTCCACTGAAGCTCAGGGCAGAGGTGGGAGTGTTAGCGGCTGCACACTCGTGCGCTGTTCTCACCAGTGCCTGGATGGTGGGCTCTCCCTGGCCATTGGCTGCATGATGTTCCCTGGTAGGTCTGCAGCCGCTCTTCTTCCTCATCAGCGAGTTCGTGGAGGACGGACTGTTGGCCTTTATTCCAGGTGATACTGGGGCTCACTTCCAGCCAACCCACTGTCCCAGGGAAGCACCCCTTTGTGTGCTCCATGTTCTGGGGGCAGATGAGTAGGACACAGCGTACAGCTGGCTCAGAGGCATGGAAGGAGCGTGGGCCTCCCACTTAGCAGCACCCGTTTGGGGTCCTGGGGCCTCCGCTTGCCGACCTGTGACTTGCCCGTGTGACTTGCCCCCTGAGCTCAGCTGCATCCTCTGTAGAGCAATGAGAACCCACCTCCCGGTCGTGCAGGGTGGGATGCAGGACAGCACAGGGGAGCCGGGCGGGGCTGGCGGGTGCTGGGCCAACCTCCCTTCCCTCCCAGAGCTTGGTGGCATTAAAGCAAAGGCCGAAAGCCTGGGAACCACCAACAGCAGGGAACGGGCCAAATAAAATCGGTGCCTGAATTTCATGGCAGACGGTGCCACCGTTACAAGCAACTGTACAGCATGTGTGTGCATACACATGTGAATTTGAAAGCCAAATGCAGGCTTTAAAAAGTGAGGCTTATGGAGGAATAACTTACTGTTTTATTTTTTTGTTAATCCTCATCTGAGGATATATATATATATATTTAATATATTTTATTAGTTCTTTACAGAGCAGAAGGGAGAGGGCTAGAGAGTTAGAAACATCGATGAGAGAGAAGCATTGATCAGCTGCCACCTGCACACCCCCTACCTGGGATGTGCCCACAACCAAGGTACATGCCTTTGACTGGAATTGAACCTGGGACCCTTCAGTCCACAGGCCGACGCTATATCCACTGAGCCAAACCGGTTAGGGCTGAGGATATTTTTTCCATTGATTTTTAGAGAAGCGGGTGGGGAGAGAGAAACATTGATGTGAGATGTTTCTCTCTTTCCCCTTCTCTGTGTACAGGACGATGCTCCAACCAACTGAGCCGCATTGGCCAGGGTCAAATGTCCTTTTAAGAACCAAATAAGAACTGCTGAGGGTTCCAGGGCCCATCACTCACCTTCTCCTGTCAGTTTTCCCAGAAGCCTGGGTGAGGCAGGAGGTGGGCGTCCTGTTAGGGGCAAATCCTAGAATTCAGAGCTGGGAGAGTGTGGCCACCACCTGACCCAGGCCCTTCCGTCTGTAAGTGATGGAAGCCCCTGAGAGGAGAAGGGACTGGCCTGAGGCCACACGGTGGGTGGGGCTCTGGGTTTGCAGGTCAGGCCTGGGCTTGCTCAGCAGCCTCCTTTCCTACTATTGGAAACATGTCACCCTGGCCGCTGAGGGCCCCACCCCGCTCTGGCTCGGGCTGCACCTGGGGTCTGTGCCCTGTACCCTCTGCCCCTCCTGCATCTTTCAGGGACATCTGAGCCCACAGGGGCCTTTAGAAGAATCCACATCCTCGGCTTTAGAAATGAGGAGCCAGAGTCCAGAGGCAGCTGTGACTTCTCCAAGGGCACCCAGGCGGGGGTCGGCCTGTGTTTGAGTTTGAAGCCAGGCAGGGGGCTGGCCTTTCCCCAGCTCATCCTCACTGATGATGCCCAGGGCAGTGGGGCTGCCTGCTTGCCCGCTCTCAGCCCTGACCATCGGCCTCTTTCCTCTTTGGGAACCACAGGTGAAATCGCGGGAGCGGGGTCAGCCAGCCTCATGTCCGCCCTGACCGACAAGGCCATAGTGAAGAAGGAGCTGCTGTCCGTGGTGGCCGGGAAAGACAAGTACCGTGTCAATA